ATTACATATAACTGTGCTTTAGCTGTGATATTCGTCAAAGGCACAAGTTTTGCTTTTTTTCACAAGTTAAGTCAAAATGGCTTTAGAATTTCTCGGAACTGTGCATTATTTCAGAATGGATTTTTAAAAATACAAACAAACAAAACAAATATATAGAGAAAGAATTGCATGCTTTTTAATGGTAAGAATATGTTGAAAGTTCATGTTTGTTATGATTCTTCTCGACCTGTTTCTTCTAGAAGTTCATCTTACTTCTCACAACCATTACTGTTGCATTTTCATTTCAACAGTGCCATCAAGTGGACTTCTTATGTTTACTTCGTAGTTGTAAATTCAGGACAGAAATATAAAAGCCCATGCATAATTCTTTTATTGTGTAGTAATAAAAATAAGTGCAAGTATTTGGATTTTCACCAAATTCCAGTGAAAATGTATAAGAATTCTCTGATTCATACAAGGATAACACAGATAATGTTTTAATTTCATGTCACATGTTGTCAATGAACACATAGTTTTCCAAAGTATCAACATGTGGAAACAATTGTACATTTCCTGTTATCTGAAGAAAGTTAATGGTTTTAAACTAGTCATTTTAATATCAAAGCACTTAACACTAGTATTATAGCCTTGCAGGCTGGCAAGTCCAAACCCCTGTCAAGGTTGCATTTGAAGAAAATTACTTAATATTTATCTGACATGTACTGTATGCTTGGAGTCGGATGAGGCAGTTCACATTACAGAAGATTGCTTTGTATTATGGCCATTTTGGTAAATTACATTGGCCTCTGATCTCTGCCAGTTGATTGACTTGCATGGTTTTCATTATAAAGACGTACAAAGTCTGTCTGTTGATACTAGTAAACAAAATCAGAGACATAATAGAGAGACTGTGTCCAGCTGTGCTTAAGATTGTAGTTCAGCTTGATTACAGAGGCTTTGAAATGCTCTAGCCGAGGAAGACAATAGTTTTGCTGTTTTTGCTCACCCATTATTGCCATGTATGGATGCTTATTACAAGCAAAATATTAAGTTTCAGTGAAGGTTGCTCTGTTAGTAGGCCTATATAGTATTGCCAGAAATGTAGCATAGCGATATTTTTAGGTAATAAAGTCTAATGTACAAGAATAATGTATTGTAGTCTAAAAAAATTATGAGGAACATTTAAAATGGTAACCATATGTAAAAAAAATGTTTCTATATTTTCTCTAAACACATTAAATTAACTTTAATTGTGTCCATATTTTAAAGCTTTATATTTTGCTTCTACATTTTGCTACTCTCATCCTTTCTTCACTCCACAGATTGAACTTCGTGTCTTGACTTCCTTTCTATTCTCTCTTTCCGTTCCTTCATCTCAGACTTGAATGTCCTGACTGCAGACTCACTTCTGTTTTTAAAAAAAGTAAATTATACATGTCAACTATAAAATAACCAGTGAATGTCAATCTATTTAATGAATTTGAGTATAATTACTGAAGGTTAAAGGTCAGCCCACTTTACCTGAATCCCACCGGCCCACTTTATCTAACACATTCTGCTAATTTCAGCAAATGCAGCAATATTTAAACACCTTACAAGAAAGCTAACAGATTTTTAAACATTTTGTTCTTAGCATTTGTTAACTGTATGGAAACAAAAACAGCAGGAACTGTCCCAATAATATTTGTTTCCATTTAGTGAGCAACCTTATAATTTAGAAATGTCTTATGTTGAAGGGTTTTCTACCTTTCACCATGACACAGTCCTCCTTTGAGGTATGGCCACACCCACCAGTGTCATATTGCATCAAGCAAAACTATTTTATCTAGGGATGGGCGTATCGATCCTAAGTATCGATATATCGATACTGATGCGAGTATCGAAAGTATCGATACTCAAACTAAAAATATCGATACTAAGGTGTGTTTTATTTACCAGTGATTTTGTTTATTTAAAATAATAATAATAATGTGTACAAATGCATTGAATTGGACGAATAACCTTTGTTAGCGAGTAATTGTGTAGGATTTTTATGTTCCTGCTCATCTGAACACACGCAAATGTTGCAAGACAGAACCAATCTATCAAAGAGAGCGTTCACTTACTTCTGACAGTGCATTCAAACAGGGCTGCGTTTCCCAAAAGTATCATAAGAAAGCGTTAAAGCTTTTGGGAACAGCAGCCCTGAACAATGCTTATCAGAGGACAGAAAAAAACATATGTTTGAGTTATTTCACAATAAACAAATTGAAATCGTAGCCTACATAGTTTGTACAATTACATTTATTTAAATTGAACGTTGAAAGATAATACTGATCATGTTCTATTCTGTAATGTTAATAGAAATCATACACTGTCAGAATAAAAA